ATTTATTGCCAACTTGAGGGAGTTGGGTCCTTCACATCTCCGTCCTATTGTTATAGAAAACTCATAAGATACAGCACAAAAATAAAAGGAGCGGTTATAACAACAAACACAAATATCGAATAACTGGGAATACAACAAACGATTTGCTTTCCGGCCACAAAAGTTCATTGAGTTAGACAAAAGTCACCAATATTTGGAATTTATTTGTTTCACAAATACTGCTACTATGCATGCGAGTTGGACAATAACCGGGAGGAAAAAACTTAGGCTCACCAAACGGGCAGTCAATCTGGCCTGACCTACATTGGGGAAGAGGGAATATGGATTGGCATAACCGAGATAAAGCATAACTAGGCCACAAAAATTACGCAAGGCAAGATTTTGACGAAGCCAAAACACCACCACTACCACTCCTGCCAATTGGCGAGTACCTGATGCCACCGCGAATGAAAAGGCGCAGTTGCCAGACACCAAAATGCACGAGAATAAGGTGAATTAACAAACACTCGAGGTGGTGTATTGACGTTATAATCTAAGATACGTATGTATGCAAATGTCGCCTTCACATGAGTGAACAGGAGACAGTCAACAACAGTGTGTATGTACAGGACAACAATAGTCGCATCATCGACAACAACAAAGAGGAATAATGTTTGTTTGTGCGTGCATTCCTCAATCGGTTTGGTAGTCAAGCAGAAGTCTATTCGTGTATGTGCATCAGACGAAGTGGTGGAATGGGAGGGATAAAATGCAAGGCCGATGGCGGTTGCGGAATGGGAGAAGTTGTAGGAGGAGGGGGAGGAGAAGGAAAAGGGAGAAGAATAGGAAGATGAGGAAAGTATCACATCAGACAAATCTGAGACAATGCGCCGACTGTCCGCCGAGGTCCACGGCTACCAAGAAGGGCGAGGTGTCTGATAACACCGCCAGTCCAGCCAGTCGTCTCATACCCGGCTCCACTTCCAACGTGTACGCCTGTCTTCTCGCCTGACGCATCAGGCTCACTCCCAGCTCCTCCGCGCCCAATCCCAACTTCGACTCTCCCTCACCCCTGGCTACCGACTCACCAGCGGCAGTGACGCAGGAAGACGTATCAGCAATTACTGCACGCCACACCACCTCAGGGTAGACAACAACCGCCGAACGTGATCGATCAGTGTGAGTAGCAAGTAGACACTCGCCCAAATCGGTAGTGGTGCGAGTTGCACAGACACCGCCAAAGTGACCCCGAAGCGCTGCAGTGGCGGCGCACGAAGCACTCGCAACACCACGCCTACCAACACAACCAGTCACGGAGGTGGTGGGACGCATCGAACCACCGATGGAGGGAGGACGACGCAGCGATTGATGCGTGGTGGTAGCATCAAGAGTTAGGGTACTTCCAGGGGCAGAAGAGAGTCCACTACCACTACAGGATGCGGGTCGTTGCGACCGCAGTTGGGAGTTGTAAGTGAGGGTGGAGGGCAGACAAACATCAGCATCCACTTCGTCGCTTGCACTAGCGGTAGGAGGTAATGGCATTTGGGACTGCACACTCATGCCTCCTCTGCCGCCTCCACCACTTAGAGGTGCGTAGAGACTCCCAATATATGCACCGTCTGAGGAGTAGATCTGTTGCAAACAAGCATCAAATTGTATGTGAAAGAGGGATAGAGAAAGCGTGAGAGCAAGTGGAAGTATGGATAGAAGAAAGAGGCTGAACTGACCCTCAATTCGGAGCCAGTAGCGAGAACAATCTCGCCGGAAGTCATTACGCAGATGCCCGTGATACGACGCAAGGCATCGTTCATGAAGCGCTCAGCGGAGGCAAATTTCCGCACACCACGGCAGCTGTTCTGAGCACTCACCGCTCCACTACCACTGTTACTGCTGCTACTACTGTTGCTGCTGCTGTCACTTCCACCACCGATTAGTGGATGAACTTCACCATTATGGTAGGCGAAAATACAGCCTGCACCGTTGTCAGCAACAAGAATACGTCCAGTGCAAGGGCAAATGCAAACGCTCGTAGGTTCCACAAACCTCGAACTGCTGATACGATCCACGATCTGGAAGGTGAAATATAAAGCAAGCACAATTGACGTGGTGACCTGGTTGATATATTCAAGCCTGAATGAAAATCCCTCTTCGTGTCTCCTCCTCCTCTGCCTCTCGCCCAATTTAACAGTTATTGGAGGAAGAAGCCTGGTAATACCTCCAATTTGATATAGAAATCAAAACATGCTGACTATGCCATCCTTATCCTATTTACGTTGTCAGGAGGCATTTAAACTGTCACTACCATGTCGTGTCATTCTCCACTAACTGTCTAAACTGTCAATGAAGAAGAATATTTATGATGATGATGGAATAAAGCTGCAACAACATCACTGCAGGCCTAACTTATCCCTCCTCCGCAAATAAGTACCCATTTTCATCATTTGGCAATAAATTTGCCCTACCAGATGGGAAAGCAAACAATGACCCCATTACGGTCTTTAGAACGACAAAAACACGCCTTCGTCAGGTAACACCTACAGTCCGAATAACAGGAAACACGTGCACGAGGAGTGCGGATCTTAAGGCAGGCCAGGTAACAGCCCTCTAGCCACCAACGTGACCTTATCTCGCCTCCATACCTCATTTGACTGCAGATCCAACAGCATCAGTTCATTTGCTCGCCAATTCACAATCCACAGTCCCCGCGGTCCTAGCGCCATGCCAGTGGCCGCCTGACCACGAAGAGCCTCGCTGCCCCCCAACACTGACTTCACGCGTCCGGTGGCTGCGTCAGCAACCAGGAGACGACTGTTTCCTGTGTCCAGAAGGAGGACGTTAACACTGTCGTCTGGTGGTGTTGGAATGGTGGTAGCAGTTGGTGTCTGAAATCGACTGGAGGGCACCACAGCAACAGCGAATGGCTGTACTAGTCCGCGACCATCTGGACCTGTGAGGGGAGGGAGGTATGAAAGAGGCTATTTCACCTAATGTTATAGAAGATAGTGTCCAAGATCCTTTGGAGTTTTATAATATGATAGATGCGGAGAGCGCAATGAAGCAACATGCATGACGTGGGTAGCAAAGCAGACTAGGAGCGGAAAGATGTATACATGCAACCCACCATCCACAATGCTCCAGCGCGCTCTCTGACGTCCACGAACGTGCAGATTGAAGGGTGAACCACGGATGGGGCGAGAGAGAATCTGCACCACAAGACAGTGCGCGCCTGGACTGAGAGCACACAGACTGACCTCGTAGGTACCGTCGCCGTGATCTACCAGACACACAGGCGCCTCACGACCCTGGGCATCCTCGAAACGCACATTAATTGGATCAGTGCCTGCAGTCTGAGGCTCACCGTGGTAGTCGTAGGCCCGCACCATCACCTGCACCAACGCCAAATTGAAAAACAAGAAAATTTACCATATTCAACAATCTTAGTGGAGCCATCAAGAGTGAGGCAGTCCACCAACACTTCTATAGCACCAAATGCTCAGCTAGTCATCACTTAAAAATCGTATTCAACTTAGTTCCCAAAGCAGATAACCCGGAATCTCATCCATCACGTACCACATGCTACCAACCATTTAGCATATGAGAGAGGTTTTAAGTGACAGCAGTGTAGCATAGAGCACCATACTGTATTGTACCGAGGAACTGGCACATGCCTGTTTATACGTCCCTTCGCATTGCTTACAGGAAGTCAATGTGTACCGATCTGCATCAAACACACCACGCAAACAATCCAGCGTCACCTGATACACGCTAAGAACTAAACAAACTCGTATTACAAAGGTCTTCTCTATTACCGTTACCATAGGTCGAAATACATAAATAAATCAAAGAGACGTCCAAACTCTCTCTCCTCTCCACCCTCCTCTCTTCCCCTCTTTTGCTCCACCCCTTATTCTCACTCCTAGACAATCATCACTGCAAATAACGCACCTTAGCGAGTAGGTGGAGGTAAAGCTCCTCTGGTAGTTTGGCTGTACACAATGGTGGATAGGTGGTGCTCACAGCAATGCGACCGAAAGCCGCCAAACACCGGGCAATGTCCACGAAACTCGCTGATCCGGGCTGTGGAGTCGTGGTTCTTGTTGCTGCTGTCAGTGCCGAGCATTCGCCCCTGACTGACTGTTGCAAAGAAGGTGGTGAAGGAGGATTGTCGTGATAACGCAAGAAAGCGTTCTCGCGTGGCTCCGTCAGACTCGCTATCGTGTCCAACTTGTCGTTCAGGTAACTGATCCCCTTTGAGATGGAGCGCACGTCGATCTGTGTGAAGGGAGCAAAACAATGCACCAATCTGATCACAGAGGAAATTCAGATGCTCCCGATTACTTTAAATATTGTCACCTCAAATTCCTCTTAGCCACGTGACCACCTGGGTCTGCGACTCTAGGCCAAAGCTTCTTAAATGGGTTGTTACTGGATGCTAAGGTTTTGACCTCAGCTGGCAATGTCTGCAATTGTCCGATTACAGGCCACTTTGAATATAACAGCAGTCGCTCCTAGAAAGATGTCTTCCTTCTCTCCTCAACTCCCCCCCTTTCTCACTATCTAAATTCTACAAGCAGTTTGGAAATGGCTTGTTCAAATCCCCTCAATGGTAAATACAAGGTTCAGATAATAAATATTCACGTTAGGATCAAGGTCATTCGAACAAGAATGTGAAGACCAATCGAGTCCACAAATGAATGCAACTACTCCAATTGTGTCACAATTTTCGATGACCCTCATCCTGTATTTGTACAGAGCCCATGTCACACATGCGTGACGGTAGAAGGAAACGTGTTGCGAGTGTTGGCCCAATCACGAACTAGAGGGTGAGATTGACAGAGGCTACCAAATGTGCAACCCCGCCACTCCGACGATGAAGTACGCGATTGTGTTGTTAAAACTTTCTGTTGTAAGTAACTTTTATCTGCAGTCCCTGCTTCTCGCTGGATTGTGATTAGCGATGGTCAATTGTGCGACCACCTTTGTAGCGTCAGGGGAATCCAGCCTTGTGACTAATAAGTATCGAAGACCTATTCTGTCACACATCAGATCCACCCGTACATGAACTGAAGCTTGACAAGCACCATTAAGTAACCTAATAGGTGTTCGCATATCACCTGCCTTCTAAACCACAGTAGACATCAAAGTGAGGTGATTCCAGATTTTGAGCATTTTACCACGAATGGAGTCGTCTAAGAATTGCTCTTCCCGGCCTGGAATTTGAAGGAGGGAAAAGATGGAGAGACAGAGCAGACCCACCCACGGCAGCAGCCGTTAGGTCATTAATCTAGACGAGGATAATATTCACCTATCACATCTACCCAAGCCGAATAAAACATGGACAAAGTATACAAACGGATGACTGTGCATGAAAGAGCAAACATTTACATGCAAATCAGACCTCCTCTCTCTCTCGTGGCATAAATTACAGTTACGATGTCGTCTGGTGCCGTGCTCAGACCTGTCCATTTGACTACATCTTCTACTCTCTCGCCTTCTATTCCCTACTTTTGAGCACATTTAAAAACACTGATTTTGAATATACAATGTAGCTCAGGAGGGTCACGTTCAGGATTAGTAGCTTTTAGTGCCTTAGTCACTGAATATCCATTGACCACCACAGGCTAAATGGAGATGGCCACTACCAAGTAGCCTCAATTTAGGAGGTGGTGAGGTGGAAGAAAAAAATGCTGGCTAAGCTGAGGTAAGAAGCACAGGGTTAACAAATCCACAGGCGTACCCACACAACGTGATTTTCATAGGATAAAGTGGTGCTTTGAAAATGGGTGGATGCGCAATAGCGATGATTAATGACAAGGAATATAAAGTATATGAAACTGCAAAGATGGTTTAAACACATTTAACAATGTCGAAAAGTGCCTGGATGCCTGAAACATCCCAAATCAAAACTGCCTCACTGAACGGCTTTTGATAAAAAATCAAAAAAAGTAGTAGGAGGAGAAGAAGGAGGAGGCATTTGACGCACTAGACTATTGAGACGATCACACTGTTCGCGCACCAGACCGCGTTCGGACTCGATGAGAGCCAGTTGGTCCTCCAGTGCGTGTCGCTTCTCCTCACTTATGCGTCGAATGCTCTGCGTCACCTCCGCCTGTCTGCGCTCCACCAGTGCTCGAATCTCCGCAAAACTCGACTCCGCCGCCTGTTTATGTGTGCGCGTGTGGATGTGTGAAAGATATCTCCAGTTAGGCGCAGTTGCAAGTTATAAATCGACGAAAAACGATCAACAAACGAACCGACTGAAGTAGTTGACTAACCCTTTTATAATTTCTACTTGGCTAATTACAGATGATAGTCTAGAGATAACGTCTTACTCTACTGTGAAACATTTGACGTAAAAATGGGTGCCTATCTTCAATGATGCAATAAATAGGGTAAAAATGAATAAGTAGCAGTGTTTATTTTCTTATTTGATGTAGCATTTTCATTTTACCGCACTTTAAACATGGACCAACACCAAAAAACCAAAACACCGACAGAGATCAAAGGAAAGGCTTAATCAAAATTAGTCAATCACGTTACGAACAAGTGTGACGAAACTGCAGACGTAACTTCAAAAGGATAATTTGGCCAGCTAAATCGGACAAAGCCATCAGGAATTATTATGACCGCAAACCAATAAATGGAATGAAAAGGAAGTGGAGGTGGAAGAAGGAGCATTGAAGAAAGCAAATACTTAAAGAAGTAAGTAGTTACAGATCAAGGGCCAAGAAAGGAAAGGAGTAATGAAATCACCAATCGATATGGAGCAGCGTTCTGATTGGCCGGCTTTCTCGGTCCCAGAAAACTCGATTAACCTATAAATCTTCCCGTTTGCTAAACTGGCAAGCTGATTGGTGGGTTGTAAACATGACAAAAAGGTGACGTTGACAATTCAACCGCATCATTAATAACTTGAAATACATAAACTTAGAAAAGTAAATAACACAGAATGATCAATGAGAAAAATGAAAATTGGTTAAATTAGAGAACATCCAGGTGGGTAAGAGGATTCCCTAGATATTCTACACCACCCTTTATTTTTAATTAATGAGACGGTAGTAGAAAGCGGCAAGCGGCAAACCAGCCATAATCTGCATGTGTGAGATTTTAGATGTGTCAATGAATTTGGGAATTGGGAAATCCCCGATGCGCAATGCGACACAAGAAAAGGGCGAAACTGGAATAACTAACTCTGATCTTAAAGTGAGAAATACATTTACTCAAGAGATGGAAATGGTGTAAAATAAGGAAATGGAATCTCCTGTCAAACGACAAACCAACTAACAAATTAGCCAAAAGGAAGTGCTTCCATTACCATGTTAATGGACGGTCGAAAGAAGTAGAATAAATTTGTAGTAAAAAGATAGTCGGCTAATAACTGAGAAGGGGATAAGAAAGGGAGAAAAACAAATGATGCTGAATAGCGTGTGCTCGCACCCAGGAATCCTCCACGGTGATTCGTCCAGCACAGCTCACTCCCAAGTGTTACCTTCTCTCAACCAAGGTTCCATTGGAAAACACAAGTGTGCATCCAATCCACTGGTGTGAACAAAAAGCATTCACAAAGTAGACGTCACGTGTTTGTGACGCTTGTAGCCGAACAATCGAATAATAGTATCACGGGTTTCGGCAAACCGGTAAATAACATGATGGAACTTAAGTCTAAGTAATGAAGTCGAGGAGTAGTTATCCATATTCACTTGGCAGTAAAGGCGTCAGAGACAGAGGTAGTGGGTGAGATGGTCCCATTGACATTGCCCTTATTACGAATTGCAAGCGTTGCATAATACTAGGGAAATGAGAGGGAATAAATGCCACTTTATCACCTAACGTGATCTTAACTGTTTCCTGATCGAGGCGCAGAAAAGGGGAGAAAAACACAAGAATGTTGACTGACCAATCATGAGGCCGAGCTACTTCGCCTTCTAAATGCAGTAATGCGACTAACGGATTTTAAAGTGCAGGCTTTTCTCCACACTACTTCGCCCATCCTTAACCCACTCTCTACCTTTAATACAAGCAACGTTTGAATAAATTTAAAAATTATTGCCTAATACGATTTGACTCAATTTTGGGCGCACCAAATGATTGGTACATTAATTGGGCGGATTTAAGCATTGCCTTGAGGGGTGACAGCCCAATCACCGCTTCGTGGCGGGCGGACGATTAGCCAACTCACCTGTCAACCTCCAAAACGAAAAAAGGACAATGCTTGAGAATGGGAGAAATGGTGAAATATCGTAAAGTATAAGGAGAGAAAACAGAGGTATTATAAGCCAAATATGACAGAGACAGTTCACTTAAGGCTAATTACCGGTAAAGTGGACTTATGGCAGGCATATTTATTACGGAGAGCGAGGGTAACACACACACACACACACATACACACATGTGATTGCACCATCCAGTGATTAAAGTCCCCAAAAACTGGGTCAAAATAGCCTAAATTTCAAGTTTTCTAAAAATTTGGCCATGTACTTTAACAAACAGAGGAAATGGCAGCTTTGTGTCCTGTTTTTAAGGATCAACAAAAGAAGATGAAGTAGACACCGTCAGTAGGAAGAATGGCGCACGTGATAGTTTTTTATGCAATTCCAGCCCACCAATGACTTGTAATTTTGTGAAAACTTTCTAAGAAGGTATGTATGGAAGTAGAGATTTCCACGTTAGAGGGAGGATGGCACAAACTAGTACTTCTTACCTTAAGAAATTCTATTCTGATCTTGGTGTCTTGGGGGTTAAGCACCTGGGGACTCTCATCAACCTCCTTTAAGATTCCTCATTTGCGGTCATTGGGAGAGCCTTTTGACGTTTGATGGACTGATAACACAGCCTCTATTGTAAAACATGACTTTCTGGAGCGAGTGTGAAGTGAATAATAACTAGATAGTGTAGAGAAAAAGCTAAACTGGTGAGGCAGTTTTTTCATCCAGATAAGAATGGAGTCACCCAAAACCTTCTCGCCTTGATAACAACCATTCCGACATGAACCTAGCGGCTGCCTAATCAGGCCCTTGCTCAAGTAAACACACCCTGCTATGCTAATCTGCCTCTATCTGCCCGTGAAGTAAACATGGAGTAAGTAGAGAGGGAAAAAGTGAGGGAGGAAAGGTACCTTGGAGTAACCACTTTTTTCATCAGTGATTGGATGGACTTGGAAAAATTACAGCAGGCAGAAAGAAGATTACTAGCACGGAGGCATTCACCAAAAAAGCGACAAACTAGTCGGCTACCGTCGGCGAAAGAAAAACCGCTGAAAGAAGGGGGGTTAACGCTTTCGCGTGATTAAAGGCCTCTTTACCTCATCTCCTACTACACATTTGCAAACGAAACGGGCTTCTCGAGTACCATAGTCTGCTGCTGCTACAATCAATCAGTCAATCAACCGAATAGAAGCAGCGCCTCCGGTCTCATGTAGACAGACGATCCCCAAACCAAGTCATTTCCAATGATTCCACCAAGGGATAAGAGGTGTCGTCAATGCCTCCGAAATAAAAATGGCGAAAGCCGGGTTTGGAAGGTTCAAAAAAGAAGCAAAATATGCTGCAGTTGATAAGACGCCGAGGAAGAGAGTAGCAAATTTTATGGACGAAGAATCCGTTGACTGATAGAGAATTAAACACACCAATCAAAAACAACGGAGACAGGTGCTCTTCTAACATTCCAACATAAAACATCCTGATACAAAGGTAGGGTTGCGTCGACTCTTTAGAGCAAGAAGAGGAGGAAGAGATAAGAATTACCTTCCCTCAAGGGGAGGGGAGATTACACCAGTGGAACCGTTCGTGCCCCCCAACCCCATCGACGTCGCTTATGCCTTTACCTAGCAAGGCCCTTATAAAAGTGGGTGCAAGATCACTGATACCGCTAATAAGGATTTAATCTGTAACCCTCACCGCTCTCCCTCCTCTCTCGCCCCTACTTTTGAAGGAATAAAGGCAGGAGTAAGGATCATACTATGGATTCTCAGCCAGGCAAAGGAGGATGCTAAATAAGTTAGTCAATCAAGGAGTTGTAAAGTGAGGCGATTCGACCCTCCTCCTCTTCCTATTCCACCCAATGAGGTGCCTGCTTTTCCAACCACATGGAAACATGATTATGTTTGCAGCCTCCAAAATCATTCATATTGCGAATCTCAGGACTCCAGATACCATAACTTGTCGTAACCTGTAAAATATGGTGAAAAGCGATTAGATGGGTAGAGAGATGAATAATAAATTTGAGTCTCCAAGGTAACTTTCATTACTGCTTCATTTGACAGTGAAGCAGACAAGCATTCTGCCATAAAACTACACTCAAATGACAAGATGTGATATGGATTGGAATTAAAACTGGCCAAATAACTGAGCACCAGGTAGGATAATACTTGTGTCTACAAGGCCGGAGCCGTCTTGACACACCACAAATTCTCGTTTCGGCGTGTCTACTTGGCGTGAGGTCAAATAAACACGCCATTCTCCGCTACTCTTCGTTGCTGTCGCAGCATCATCTTGTCAAGCTCAAAGTCACCTAATTTATTGCCTCTGTCATTACGGGAAAAAAATGCCAATTGGACAACGAAGATTCTTTAAACCTCTCTTCACGAAATTGCCATAACCTGTAGCCCCTATTTCCTTCCAAATGAAGAGTAGCTGCTAGGTCTACTATGTCATCGAAACGACGTATTTATAGTGACCAAATTAGCTGCGAAACCTGAAGGAGAGCATCTTTCTACCGCTGACCTCAGGCACACACACACACACACACACGCAGAGAGAACGACAGAGCAAGAGACATCAAACAGCCCTAGGGTTAACGTTCAAGTTCTAATAAACGAATGCAAAAGTGGTATCTCCAACCTTCCTTGCCCTACAGTCCAGCAGTAGTAAAGAAGGTCAAGAAAATCGTGTACACCGATTTATAGAACAGGTGAAAATGAGGCAAGGGGTCAGCGATTTGGGCACCAATCATGAAGTTAGGCGATCAGGACACTAGCGTTAGAGATGAGACGTTTTACTGCCCTACGAACTAGTCAATTAGCCAGGGGGCATTGCTCACAGTCAGTGATGATTTATTACCAAATCGCGAAAGCTGAATCGTTCGCCCTGTGTCGCATCGGGGGATGGGGAATAGTCAAACCGATGCCAAGGCCTTTAAAAGCAACGCAGAGTGCTACAAAAGCGGCAACCCTCTTCAGACACGTGATGCACATGGCGTGAAGAATTCAGAGGGAAGAAAAAGAACAGACTCCTTTGAGAGAGGTATTTGGGGAAAGAGAAAGGGACACTTTGACGACAATGGAAGCAATGTGAACGTACACTCAGCCTTTCCAGAGGTAAAAAGAATGTTGAAATATGTAGTGTAGTGTAGTGGCGTCAAATTGACATGGATGGGCAAGAATTATGACTGATCATCAAATTTGTGTGCGTGTGTGTGTGTGTAGAATTGAAAAACGATCCAAAGTGGATCCTAGCAATTACATGTCCGATTGGAGGGTTAAAGATAACGACACAAAAAATGCGAAGTGGGGCTCGAGAAAACTGAGGGATGAGAAATGGTGAAAAAATTTGCACAAATAAACATGGTTTCGGGCTCCGGGTAATGGCAACATTTCACACAATAAATGAGAGGATGAGGGAAATAAACTTTGATGGAGTTATCCAAGAGAAGTACACCATCTTTGATACCCTATTAGTGGGAAGAACTCGATCTGATGCTTTGCGTGTTTACCTAAGAGCGCTGACCGAATCTGAGATCGGGGCTGTACAACCGAACGAGCAAAATGGAAGAGATGAAAAGCCTACGAAGGGGCAGATAAGCCCGGCCAAAAAGAGGAATCCAGAAAGCCGAGAGATTTTTAAACCTTTTGGCTGGATGCCATTTCTAAAATACACAGTCTTGCATTCAGCATTTACAAGTTACTTCCAGGAGACTTGCCCAAAAATAGCTCAATCCTGCAAGGTATCGGAAGAAAGGAGGTAAAAACTGAGAAAATAATATCCTGCGAAAGGAAAAAAATTAGAGTGCATGGACGAAACCAAGCTACAGAGGAGAGGAGGGAAGGATTAAAAAATAACCAGGCTTTCTAGATTGGAAAAGAACTCCAGTAGCTAAGACCCCACCCAGCAAGAGGCCAAGAGAAAAAAAAACATGGCCATGGAAGGAACGTAATCACTGATGAAAAAAAGCAGGAAGGAGTAATAAGAAAGAGAAATCCGTGTATTGGGAAGAAAGTAAGAGAAATTGATGGAAGAGTTAGGAAATCACGATTGCTGACTAGCAAACCGGCTACTTCCACCTAAGTACCAAAAAATGTAAGTTTATGGATTTAGAGAGGGAGAAGTGAAAGACTTAAAGGAAGGGAGACCATTTCGTAGACATTATGTGGCCACTTGAAATGCCCTTCCACCAAAGAGTAAAGGGGTGGAATGAAAGGAAGCATAAAAACCTGATAAAAAGGAGAGGAAGAATCACTCACAGCGACACAAGCCTCAGTGGACTCCGCGAGACGTTGTAGCTCAGCGTTCACAGCCTCCTGTGCGCTATTGAGCTCCTGCACACAGAGACTGGCCTTGTAGAGGAGAATCTCAGAGCAACGTTTGATGGCTACGGAAAAGCTGATAACGTTGTGAGACAGGGCAGCACCGCTACCGCCTCCACCACCACTGGCATCCACACCGCTGCAGGCCTCTGTCGCGTGACCTCTACAGCGGGAATAAGGAATCAATAGTTCAATGACTGAGTGCACACCGACTTAGATGTGGTGGATGAGTCAGTAGTGTCCGCCTTGAATCTAGTAAAAGAACAACAAACTTTTACGCTTTGAGAAAACAGTAGTGGGTGTCAAATCACTCCACTAAGACGAGCCTTTGTCTATAGCTGGAGTTGGTGAGTGAATTGATGCCTAGGCCACTGACGTCACGAGAACCAACATCGATGGCACCTGCACTGCCCACTAACAACGTTGGTATCATCAATGAAATTGTCGGACTCGCTATCTTTCCGACCTGTGCCTGCCTGGAGTAAGCCTACGCTCCGTCTCTGCCCCGTCTTACTGCCTTAATTCTCTCAGCTCAATGCCAGCCTTCTCCATCCCTCTTATTCACCATAGAACCGACGGAAGCGGTGTTAGGCCGCGAAGACGACGACTGAACAACACTCAATATTCCCTCCCCTTGATCATCACAGGAAAACAAGGCGCTTGATGCGTGGAAGAAAAATGGGGAAGATTGGTCTAGCTTGGCGGACGGAACCACAACGACAACAACGTACTTGCTGAGTCAATTGGAGAGGGAACACATTCATTCTGCCCACCTCCAGTCGCCTAATTCAATCCAGGAAAGCTTTCAAATGCACTTACAGATGAAGCGAAACCATGAGAACTACCGGCGCTGCAGAGAATCCACTGCTTATCCGTTGCTTGAAGCATAGGATCTACGCTAACAACGACTATCGGCAAAAATGGAAAGGTAGAAGAGATTACAGCCTTTCAAAAGGCGCCTTAATAAAATCAAGGCAGTAAGCTGGTTAAAAGTGCCTGTTGTATAGTGGGGGCTGGAGAATACATGGTTAGCTGGATGCAACCGAAAAGAGGCGTTAAAAAGATATCTTCTCTGCCTCCTTTCTAGGAGTGGCAGGTGAACAACTTCCATAATCCAAACAGCAGATCCATTTTAGTGTTCGCCTAAATTGCCCCTAGGCAACAAGAAGTAGACGAAGAAGACGACAAATCTTTTTTTTCCATCGAAATCGGGATGGATAGTAAAATGATGATAGTAGTGGTGGTAATGAGCCAACAAATCTGCCAGTATTAATATCTCTCGGCCATTTAGGAGCGTTTGAATCTCACACCAAATCATGCTGGATACGCAGTTATTAAATTCGCCCACACCCTCTCAAATGCGCATTAAACAGATACGCAGGTGGTTTTATTTTCCATGATAAAATCGCTCTTTTTGACTGACTAATAAAAGCGTAATAATCAAACATACTTTTTGCTTCCTCTCTCGCATTTTCTAACTCCACCATTTGGCAGAAGAATCATCCCTAAGCCAATTGGAAATAAAGGAATGACCTCTAGAGATTCTGTGACTCAAAAAGACATCAATTCGTTCTGGGAGAGGTCATTTTACCCCCATCACGGAGAGCGGAGTGGGCTTGTATTTACACGATTTAAGGAAGCCAACCCAACTTAAGCTTAAACCCAAACCCACCGAGTGCTACCACCGCGACAGTCGGGACAGAAGATGACATCACAGGTCTCGCAGAAGAGCAACTCCTGATTCGGGTGCCGCCGACACTTGGGTACGCGGTCACGTCGCTGACTAGCCATCAGATCGAGCAGTTGATTGACAATGAAGGCAGGCGGAAAAGTGGCCGCACCACCACTGCCCCGTGGCACCAGGATTGTCTCGCGGCATATTGGACAACGCATTGTTTCCTCGTCCGCCTGGTGGTGCCAGAAAAAAAAAAAACGAAGACAGCTTAAATGAGGACTTCAAAAAGGCCGAGTGTGCAGAACTGTGGTGAGGTTAGTGAAATAATCTAAAGGGGTGTGCGGGCCATTTCTTCACTTAGAAAATCGGTGTTTCCGACAGATTTATTCATGCGTGGAGACACTGAGGAGGAGGGAATATTCTGAGCTACCTCTCACACACCAAAAGTGGCATTGCTTCAAAAGAAGTCACCAGGAGAATCAGACAACTGGTCACAAAGGGGAAGAGTGACGCGATTTACAGGTGGGCTGGTGAATACTGTGAGACTGTATCTTTCACCCGCTCAGCCGCAATGACCATGTAGATACAACCCTTAAAAAAGACTCATCACCTCATACATGGCAAAATGGCATACAACGTACGGGCAAAAGATGTCATAAACAAACGAGATGGTGATAATGGGGATAGTAATGAGAAGAGGGGCGGGAAGAAGCAAACCTTACATTCTTCATAATCATGAAAAATTATCCACCACCGAGTGACTCATTAATTTAAGATTAAAATGAAAAAAAAATTTCCCAGTCGCCTACATTAACTTGGAAGAGAGGGCCATGGTTGTTACCTACGTGACATGTAATAAACCAGTCAATCTGTTTACAGTTAGCTTGGCGACTGCTTTGGGAGAGAAACTTGAACAAACTAGTGGTTTGTCCTTAAACGGTGCACTCACTACCTTACCTTACCTCACCCCACCCATCTGGGTTACCAATTTATCTCCAAAACGATCGTGCGTGCATTTGGTGTCACATATTGCAGGCTCGATCTATCCGTTGAAACGTCTTGCAGAAGGCCAAACAACGATTACGGCTGAAATCTATCTGCTCAATACAACTCGGTGTGCAACACCTCATTCTTCAATTAGCAGACAAGACTGATTAGGGGGAAGATTCTCCTATTCTCCATGTTGCAGAATGACACAAAGTAAGATCTTGTAAAAGAGGTTGTATTTCAGGATGAGCTGTCGGTTGAAATGGGTTGAGGAGGGGCTGGATGGGATGGGGAATGGAGCACATCACACCCTCCGTCCCCTCAGTGTGTTCCTACCATACTTCACCAAGTGCTAACGACCTTGGCAGCAGCCTCGGACAATCAGGCCCGAGACAAACAGTCGAGACATAAAAGTGAGACAGACGGAGGTGACTAATATACCAGGTTCATTTATTGCCTGCCAAAGGCAATGGGTGTTATAAAAGCGGAGAGGGTTAGATTAGCCTGTAGCGGTGATCATTTGAATGAGCGAACCCTTTTAAGGCGCTGCCCGGAGCAGTTTAACCTTTTGGCTGTTTCCAAAATGCTGAAAACTATGCGGAAAGAGGAAGGTTTAACCAAGAATGAGTGCTATCAAAGACGCAGTTGGTAAACTACCAGAAAAGTCCTACGATCAGGTACTATTTACAGCGACGAGGACGCAGAAAGAGAGCAAATCGGCGGACAACTTTAACTCCTGGGAGACAAAAGTCAATTCCTATGCTCATACACTTGGCCAAACTAAATAGTGCTGGAGAGGAGGGTCGGGGGGAAATGAACGTGAGTACATACAACGAATGGCACTGGGAAGTAGACTAGACAGGGTAGAGCATGCAGTTTTTCGCGCATAGATGAAGTTAACTATTCTCCTCTTTTTCACAGTGACTCAGTTGACCCTACACGGACCTCATGCATACATCATGCTAACAGCGAAGGATCTAATTATCACCCATCTTGTAAGACAAAAAAGGACCGGAAGGAACTAGAATTGTTTAGGTGAGCGAATGGGGACGGGAAGAGGGGGGAAGGGGGGGGGGAAGGATGAGAAAGTGTGCATAACTTACCTCGCAGTCGTCTGTCGATTTCTGAAAATGAATGATGACAAAGTGAAACACATGCAGTTTAGCAATACACCTGCCACGCGCCTATCTTTGTCACATCTTTGAAAAGGAGATCATCAGAGGTACTAGTACAATTAAGCATATATGACTTCCTTTTGTACACGAAAAAAGAAAATGGAGAACGCGCCCTCATCTGAATGCTAGGCCCTTCAGTTCACGGGCCAAGAAAGAAGGGATAAACTGACATACCACACGGTGAGCTTTGCAACTGTTGGCACGAAGTAAGTCGCTCAAAGGTCGTCCGCAAGGAAAAAAGAAGTCAGGAAATCGGCTGAAGTGGCGATATGAGAACCATCACAGAGCAAGAAAACATTTAAACCATAAATGGATTACAAAGAAGCCTAAAAGTAAAGGCAGTTACAGCCTTCACTTTCTTTTCTATCGTAAGGAAATTAAAGGTAACTCAGTCATTTTTCGCCCTCTTTTTTAACGTAAAAGGGAGTATTAGTTTACAAAGGTAACAAGTACGAATCCGAGGAAGAGTGTGATTTAACTATAAAAAGGAAAGAGAGAAAGGGAGGCAAGAGATTCAGCATTGAAGGAATTTTATAAACTTTCAACAAAAGATTTGATGACATCACTCCCACGTTTGTTTCTAGACGTTCAATGTCACGCTGCTGGATGACGTCTGTGCAGTGGCAAAAACTTGACTTAAAATGGGAAATGGGCATGAGAGGTGCTACGCTGTGGCAAGTATATTCCAAGCAGAAAATTGTCAGTAGTAAGGGAGGTGATTGCTCTGACGCGTCTAGGGAGGGTAGGAGGACGAGAACAAACACAGAGCATGGGAAGACATTTTGAGTGACAGATTAGGGTTAGACAGTGGGGAAAATAATCCCTCACTAGGAGACAAGAGAAGTTACATTCTACAATCCATAACAATGTCATTTGTTCTCCATGAGAGTCGTAGAAGTGAGGAGCACTTTTGTCTTGTCAACTTGCCAAAAATTGATGAACCGAGTCAGGTGTTTGCACTGAACCAAAGGTCGTGCAGTTCGCTAATTGTTGTACCGAATCAAGAAAATCATTGTCAGCGCATAGAATAAATAATGAGAACTGAGTGCGCAAGAAGTATCGATAAGGAGCGCAGGATTAATGAAACAAGGCGAAAGCAAACTGACAAAAGACGAGAGACAGGATACGCAGTGATTTCAGCCCTCAGAAGAATTGCTGATGTCAGACAAAACCGCGAAAATAACCCTTTTTAAGAAGGAAAAAATGCCACGGGAATGCCTTTATGGAGAAAAGTCGGCAGGAAACAACGCGGAGGGGGAGCAGTAGAGAAGGGTAGGAAGGAATCCAATTACGCTCTCGACACAAAGCCAGGGGAGACGCGTGAAATGCCAAAAGAGCGTGGGATGAATGAAAGGCTAAATTAATTGGAATTCAGTTCAAGAGGGGCTGTTATTTTCTACACATTGGAAAAGTTCCTGAGATGAAGTCATTATTTGCGTAGAAGAGTCTTTTTAAAAGAATGAGGGTGAGAGAGCTACACCGGTACAATAAATATTGCATCTTTGAAGCTGGTAGACAGCTGAGTGGTGAATCACATTGCTTCTTCACCCCAGACCATCTTTAGCAATCAAAATTACTGCACAAGAGAGGCATAAAATCGGCAAACGAGTAGGTGAAGTAGAGGCGGCGCAGATTTTACCTAAACCGGAATGAGATGATGACCCTTTAAAATGTGCCGAAGCCAAAGGATAGAAATGCAGATGTAGGACAATTATTGTGGTGAATCGCGCCGCTTCCGCAACCAGTAAATCTACTTCTCAGCAGTCCGTCTCTTTGCCTCTCAAAATTAGGTGATAAAACGTTAGAAGAGGGAAGATTCTGAAAGTACCCGGACAAATATTGCTTGTTCCCTTTCGCATAAATTCAGGCTACAGTATATAAGTGCGATTCAGGAGAAGGGTGTGCAAACAATGGGCAGATGGGTAACTAGACCAGTTAGGTAGGGTAAAATGACCCTAAATGGATGTAAGAACCAGTTATAGACGCGATATACCTCTGAAGCTGTAAGTGTTTTGATTCGGACGATGAATCGCATTGTATCAAGTGCCCAACCAATAAATTCACCCTCTAAAGACCTCACAATAATGCCTCTCAAACCAAGGCACAGTAGGGCTTTTCAAAAGGGAGATTTTGATAGGAAGACACTGAGCAAACCTGAGTCTCGAGGATACGTTCCAAACAAGTGCGGCAGACGGTGTGAGAGCAGGGCAATAGTTTGGCAGAATGAGCAGCCGAGTCGTAGCCGGACAGACAGGTCCCACAGGTGAGAAAGCTCTCCGAGAAGTCCTCTACATTGATCATCATCGTTTCCACCAAATGCGAAGACATCTAAAAGGTGATTTTAATGGAGTTTCAATGGCGCTCTAAGTAAAGGGGACGCCGGAGGAAAGACAAATGAAGAGTGGATTTATTTCGCTGGTATGCAGAATGAAAAAAAGCGAGCTGGGAGCCAAATGGAGATGAGGAGAAGAGAAGCAGGGAAATGGAGAGGAGACGCTTTACTTCAAGTAAAAGTGACATGCGGTAAGCACTGTGAGCACACTTACGAGGGTAAGGATCATTTTTGTGATTTGGTGCTTTACAATGCTGCAAATGAAAGTGCAAAGTAGGCCGCTTTACAACCATTCATATTGAAGGCGAACTTACGAAACACTGGGATTGGAAATGTGGTAAAAAAATCCAAGGGCTAAATGAAATTGTGGTCATCCTACGATTTATAGATGGTAAGTCACAGCAGCATTAGAAGGCAGTAAAAGTTTATGCGTGTCTAGATATTTAACCAAATCTGATTTGATTCAGTGATTCACGATTCGAGCACTACTTGAATTCGTCAACTACAAATGAATCATAAGAATTTAGAAATTTGGTAAAGGATTGTTGGGTAATGTAGGCCAATGACATTTCTCATCAGTACTTGGCTTCTTCTTAAACCTAATTAGACGGATTGATAAATAGGTGGGTGAGGGATTGAAAAGAAGTAGAAACTAGTATGGTATTCGTTGAAAATAAATTTCTGAAGTACAGCAAAAAGCATCATCAGGGACAATAGGAAAAAGTGATGTAGTTACAAGAAGGCATGTTTTCAAAAAAGCTCAAAATACCAAGATGGGGGAAGTGAGAGAATCAAGATATCTAGGAAGCCAGTAATGCGCACCTTTGTGCCGTTTTAACTTGCAATCATCACAAAACCACTGTAACAAAAACCCAGTAGAATCCACAAGTCACCTCGCAGGAGCTACCACCCAATGATTGGCGAGGTGGAGGTCATTTGCTTCAGCCTATCCATTTTAAGCAAAATTTATGAAGAGCCTATATGTGTTATGTTTGTAAATCTGTTTCAAATATAATAAAATCCTCAAAGTATGCATAACCAATTGAAAGTGTAAGTATTTTAAGCAACAAAACAGATAGAAATAAAGATTTTTGGAATGAGAAGATAAATTTGCTAGCAATAAATTTCATTTGGTTGCAACCAGAAATGTCGAGTTCTCTCTATTTTTGATTACTATAACAGGATATGAATTTATCATGTTGTGAGCAGTTCAACTTATTGTGTCTCAAAATTCGGTTATGCAAATTTATAAAACAGGAAAGCTTTCCACTCTATTTATTAAGTCTTTTTTAAAGAAATGCTGCTGCAAAACATTGCACAGCAGTCACGCGTCCTCTTAAATGAAAGTATTACTTATCTAGAGGAAAAATTTTGTGATATATGGAAATCTTTGTGGAGGAGTAATTTGATAATTTACTCAACTGTTTCTCTAATAATATCAACCCTTTGGACTCCACGTATTTTTCTTTGGCGTTATGAGTCTCATCTAAAAGCAGGAAGTCAAAATGCTTAAAAGAATCTGATTTGTTTCCATACAGGAGGGATGGGAGGCTGTTGTCGTGGCCCGGAGACCAGGACGCTGTGCAAAGGAGGACCCCCAAGTGCTCGCGAAATCAAAACGAGAAGGTAACCAAGTGTTAAGCATTACAGCACTTCTGCCGAATTACATGGTGCACTAGCACACCCATAGCTTAGGGGCCTTATTTTTCACTGGTGCAGTCCGGCGCGAATTCCCCACGCTGGTGGCAGTGGTGGAAGAGTCCAAACCGGGATTTTAGCTGAATCTGCACGAAATATCTACAGAAAAGACAAAAATAACTTATATTTTTCCTCCTGGTGGCGCTCAGGCACTATATCCCAAATGGATTCATTGTCCATGCGGTTGGGCTTGGAAGTTAGGTTTCCTTCCGTTGCATTTCTTCCGCTTCGCCTTCGAGCTCCTGTCTCGAAGACGAATGTAACTTTATGCCATGACCTGTTAAGCGCGGTGTGGAAGGTTGACCACACAGTCGAGCAATGGATTTGTTGCTCGAGAAGAATAAAGTGAATATTCGATGTTTTAATTTGTCAATTTATTCTTTGCCTCCTTTTTGACCGGTTCAGCGGCTCTATTGTCTGCCAACCAAGACAAACATGGGGGCGATTGACTCCCTGCCGTACTAGCGACGCTAGGCTACGATAGTATCTGAACGATGATTGGCATCACTGTTGAGATACAGTGCCCGCACAACGTGATGAGATTACGGAGAAGACCAGTCCAACGCGGTCGGTGACACAACAACATAAATCACATATCCGTAGGTTAAGCGTTTTATTGACTCAGACAATTAAATGGACGCTGTCATCCTGCGCCTCCCTCTTCTGTTGTGCTTTCAGCGTCACAACCACAACCACCATTGCCTTCAATGGCTGGGCACAAACTCTACCATTTCTAACAGGCTCCGACATTCACAAGGAGTCTACGTGAGCAGCCACATCTGAATCAAACTTCAATTACTCCCCAGGCGAAAGAAAGCTAACCGTTCTGAGACCTACATCGTTATATACGGTTTCTGCTCACTGACCACGTTAGGCACCTCAAGGTATGGACAGCCTCTACCCGGTTTCGAGTCAACTTCCAAAGTTGGTTCATTCCTGAATAAGACCAAAATCATCCACCGAAAGAGGATCTTTCAGGAGAGACAAAAAACACTAAGATTTGCGGACCTTCAACATTACTCAAAAAACCATGGACATGATAAAACAATGGCTTGCCGATTCATTCATTCACCTACTAGTTTAAGTGAATCATTAAATATGGTATGAATCAAAGGGAGCAAGAATTTTGCTGAAAACATATAATTGCTTCAATAAACAAACAGCAAAATAAAGTAGCTGTTTTTACAAAGACACATACACCGGGAAACTAGAACAGCAAATCTCTGTAAAAGATAGTTGCAGCCAATAAGATGTTCAAGATTACGAAACCAACAGCAACAACCATGGGGAACTTTGATCTGTGCTGTTGTTCCTCCACCTTTTTTGTGTGAATGTTGAGGCGATTGGTGGTAGGAGCAGTATCTCCAGCCCCAAAATTGTGCCTTAGGTGAACGTCGACATCCCCATCTTTGTCCTCCTCATCAGAGCTACCTTCACTGGCTTCACTGTCATGCAGGTTAATATGGCTAAAAACAGCTTACTTTTCCGGATATTCAGCATCAGCTAGAAATCCATACTCTGATTAAATGAATATGGACTTACGATTTATCAATTTGAAAAGCTTCCTCCTCAGTAATTCTCTAACCGCGTCATCTATGAAATAAAAGTGGAGAGAAGATGACACCTGTAATTGGCGGCGGCGCATAACCATTTTCCTCCAACTGTTCTCGCAAATCATCATCAGATAAGCTTTTGAGCTCAGAGATGTCCATACTGAACACCACAAATTGGAAATAGGGACGTGGAAGTTCGGGCCAATTGGAAGCCGAGGCTGAGCCACAACATACCAAATGGTCATGTCAAATATGGCGTGCGCGAATAACAATATCTTTCTTGAATCATGTTTTTGTTAAAACTCCAGAAAAATACGTCAAAAAATTGTATTCAAATAAGGTAATCATGGAGACTGGAGGATAAAGATGAATAAGGATTAAATGCTAAAATTTGTCAATTGTGCCATACTGCGCTTACAATCAAACCATCTGTTTACGCAGAGAAAAGTTTAGCATTAAGATATATACGAAAATTTAACCTTGTGATGATCAACTTTTTCGTGCTATTTGCATTCGGTGAAATTTTTCTTCATTTGGCTGTCTAGTCCAGGAACTTCTGTTACATTTAACCATTTCTGTATGGTATGGTAAAATTAGTTTTAATCTATTTAATAGTGTAGTAACCACATGCAGCTTATTTAAATTGGCGTCCTTTGTCGTTCTTTAAATAGCATTTGACTTTATAGGATTAAGTAAAACGATGAAAATCTTCGTTACTAATCCTAAAAGGAATCGGTTTCAGCCAGCCTTAATATCACTGTCATCAGTTACAAGCATAGATATCGTAGGAAAGTCTACATCAAAACCGCATAGTTCATAAAGTGCTCCGTAATTAATACCTTTATTACCTTTCCTAAAGAGAAAAAAACTTTGTGAGCTTGTAAGGGCACATATTTAAGTCGCCTTGATAGGCAATCCTTTAATGTCTTTGTTTCATATGTGTTATTTAATTACAAGTCTTTCTCTTACATTATACTCAGTTTAACCGTGCTTCTTCTATGATAGGCTATTTCAATGTGTCTTTAAACCATTTTGGCTTTTTGGTTTGCATAATTCTAAGAACAACTGACTTTGATTATGGCCATATCGACCAACTTACGTACATATTAATCCATCCGGTACTTTACTGCAGGAATCCTCTCATCTTCATCAAATGCACACAAAACGTGATCTAGGATAATTTAACGGCCTTTTGTTTTGTATTGTCCTGTCTTTTTGATTTGCTTTACATATTTAGTAAAACGCTTTATTGCTGCTTGGACATGGATGACGAGGAAGACTTTTTAAGGATACAAGAAGAAGGCCTGAAATCCGACTTTCAGGACTTGAAAGCCCAAATTGAGGAGAATGAAATAATTCACGGTATTCCTTCAAGAGGAATGAGGTAGATAATTTTGGCTTCTTCGGTCTATTTTGCACATTTTACAGCTCTTTCTACATTCCACGCGATCCGGAGCACTTTCGACGCAGACGCAAGCTTATTCTGCAACGAACCCTGCAAGTGACCTCACCCATGGAACTGGTGGTTCAGGCAGACCAGATGGTTGCCGATCAGGAAACTTGTAAAAAAGGCGAATTTAATGCTTCTACAATCCCTCCTCTTCTACTTCAGGTAATAGTCTTAATATACCACTCTTTTGTTTCAGTACTTCTTGGACAGAATGAGTGAGATTGTGAGTGCAAAGCATCTGCTCATGCTACGCTGGAAACGCTACTGCTCAGGCACCATGAAAGTTGAGAAAGTCTATAAAGACTACCTTCAGGTTATCGAGTAAGTTGGGGCACAGTTTGTGACACTGTATCTTCACAGACGTCTAACAGAGGAATACCTGGAGTGCAGTTCCCGAGCTCATCGATTATCCACGGCAGATGAGGCCTTATTAGCTGGAAATGATGGAGGTCTAGAGGAGGTGGAATTTGACGACTTTTTGATCTACTGGAGAGCGATTATCATTAAGTTACAATCACAGACCTACTTTAAACAGCTCATCCAAGTACTTCTGACATCAGTTGTTACCCTAACCTTCTGCTTTAGCTTATCAAGTGGTTTCCCTATGGCCATCGTGAAGGCTTCAAACAAGACCTCTTGGTAAGACCTTTCCACTCATACAAAGATGAGACATGTAGAAACAGCCCTACCACCTATCTCACTACGAAGAGGACGGTGGTATTCGGCAGATGCTAAACCTTGTCCTGGAAAAAGGTCCGGCAACAGTCCGTGCTGCACTGGCCAATGGGGTGAGCAGCAGCACTAGTGAAGATGGTGGCGAACCAATTGAAGGTGCTGTGGAGGCTCCTGTTTCCGCTGTTCCTACCGCTGTCACCTCCACGGCGGAGACTGAGAAAGACACCGACACAGACGAGGCTGCAGGTGAGGCGAGTGCTCCTGCTGCCATGGATGCCCCCAGTAAATTAAGCAACTCGGAGAGTAACGATGGTGTAAGTCAACGAGCAGAGGAGTTGATGGTTCACACCGGTGGCACGACCAGCTCACAGGATGGCGCAGCTCCAGGTGCACCTACTCCACCTAAATCATCCGCCGTTACGTCTACCACTATCGGTACTTCGGCAACAGGAGCCATAGCGGCATCAGTACCAACAGAATCGTCTTTGCGTGCATCTAAGAAACGCGGGCAGACAATGACCGGGGGTATTGAGTTGGGCGCGATTGATCAGGCATTTCGATTCTCTGAGCACGCACCCCAGCCCCCCGGAATGTTTATGGCGCAGTTGGGTGGATCAGGTATCCCTCTGCCTCCCACGACAACAAACATTCAGTACGCTGCGAGTGGAGGTGGCCTTGTGATCAACGAACGATACCACGGTCTACCTCTTCACACCAATGATCTGGCGAGTATTCGACCCCACTTGACCATTTTTGTTAAGGCCTATGGAATTGACATTGTGAGTTGGTACAGAGGGGAATAACTGCCCCTAAAAATTAACAAAAAGGCGAGAAATCTTTATTTATTTTGTAGAATATTCAAACAATCCGCTCGGCAGCAGATGAAATGGAGCTTTTTGCAGTGATTAATAGAAATTTTCGACGATTGTTTTTAGAGCAAGAGGAGATGCTAACTTTTAAAACCTACGACGCGACATCAGTAAGTCAGACGAGTTTATGGCGGGGGGTGACGTTGTCGCTTGTCATGACGACTCGGTGTAATGTTTCGAGTCTTCTTAACTCCGATTTTTTGTGCATAAGTATGGGTCACTTTACTGACAGCCAGAGCACTTTCTTGGTATTTTGAATCCTTATATCATTTAAACCTCACGTTCAGCTCTATTCTGGAGCTGTAGAGGCATCACGAATACCGTAGGAGGTATGTTTATGGAGCTGATGCTGCTTTTTTACTTTATGATAATAAGTAGTAATAACAGGCGTCAAGAACTAACTCATTATTTATTTCTTAGGGAAGACTTATTCTCCAAAATTAAATTCTCCAAGAAATCAAACATTCCTGCATTATTTTTAATGCTTCTTTGAAATAATAGTTAATGAGAACTTGCTTTAATATAAATTTTTATATTAATAAAGTAGGGATTTGGTAAGTCAATTAGTATATCATGCTCAATGCCATTTACAGAGTGGTACGGAGCGCTGGGGCTTGGACTCACCGTCACATGCAATGAAAAAACCTTCCAATTGGCTACCGTTTATAAAATTGAAGCCGAAACGAAATGCTGATCTGGTGAAGAGCATGATGGAATTGCGCTGTGTCGGCAATGTCGACGAGGTCCTCCGCTCATTAGCTGCCTTCCTAAAGATTAATAAGCCTGAGGTGAGTCCGCTGATTAGCTGACATCGCGGTTTCTGACTGAATTTATTAAGTTAATACTGGTGCCTCATTAGGGACTTTTGGAAGTGGGTTTGAAAGCATGGAAATGGATCGGCATCCCATATATATCCAAGTATCCACTCATCTTGGACTAAGTATATCTAGCAGTCTGAATTGGGGTATTTCTGAGTTAGAGGAATCTTATTTGCCTGCAATCCTAGCAAGAACTGTGGAAAGTTGAGTGATGAATCATTGAGCATTCAAAAGTTCACTACAGTCTTAAAAGTACGGTGTTTGCTCTAATATTGGGGAAGAAAAGTGGTGCCTAAAAGTTCCACCTTCCTCCACTCCTCTCCGCATTTTAGCGTGTACAAGATGCTCTTCGGCACCATGCTATGCTAGTTCAACACCCACCAATCGTTCACGCAGCCTCTGTCGTCAGTCATCGACAAGGGATGAGTCTTAGCGAAATCTTTCGCAAGATTTTCTCAAGCCCCGAACTCTACGATGAGTAAGTTGACCTCTTCTCTATTTCTTGAAAAATTTTGAGTAAATATCTGAATCATCGGTGACTATGCAATGACCTTAAACAGACCAATCTAATCGGCTAATCACAATTACCGCATTTCTTTGCAGAACCACCGTAAACGAATCCAAGGCCAGTGGACGAAGTACCTATGACTTCAATAGTGCTATGCAGATGCTGGGATTAGACGAGCAAACCGACGCCAAAGACGACTCATCAAGTGTTCAGGGTGGCTATCTATCCTTCCTCCATCTGCGACACCTCAAAATGCGTGATGTTCAACGCACCGTACAGCAAATACTTTAAAGTTGTCCTTTTTAGACTGGGAAAAGAGGTCCATTTAAGATTGGGCTTAAGTAACGCCAGTTCAAAAAATAAGTAAATAGTAGTATTGTTATCCTGCTAGGTAGTTCGGTAGCAATGAGAGCTGTCTCAATGGAAATGTATTGAATCTATGTCAAACAGACCAATTTTCACTTCTACTTTATTATTGTCCATATAAGTAGGGCGTTAACTGGGGCTAAGGACAGTTTAAGTTGTCAAGAAGTCATTATTTTACTTCCATAGAATTTTTCTCCTTTAGTGCATCTCAGTCCTCAACTACTTTCGTTCAATTGAACGCACACTGACAATCAATGATCAGGGATTGTCGCTAGGCGGCCGTGGAGCAGAACGAGTGTAAGACCTTCTTATGTTCTACTACTAAAGCTGGCTTCCATTACTAGCTACTTGACAAAGTTGAACCTACTTTCATCCCCATGTTTGTCTGCTAGGAGTCCCCAGAATCACCGAGCAGGGCCTGAGCTGCCTGGCCATCAGGGTGGCAGCAATAATCTCGTCGGTCATTCCTACCTATTCAGCACCCCACGTGATTTCAGGTAAAGAGACTCCAAATTTCGAAAGCTCCTGGAATATTTGAGAAGTGGACACAAAAACGCGGATCCGCAGGTGTTGAAGACATCCCTACAATTGAGTAACTAGGCAGTCTGATAGAGTCACCCATATGACGCAACGAAACTACCAACTTTAACTTCCCTAGCCTTTGCAGTTTTAAGAGGAAGTTAAAATGCGCAAAACCTTTATGTATTTGGAATTGCAGTGAATTTTGCGTTCTGAAACGCTACTTAATTTTATATGAGTAGGTTTGCTGCCTCAATAATCCAAAAAAATTAATTAGTAGCACATTTTTACATGGCAAATGTCAATAGTTTAATGCGAATCACATGTTGCCTTATTGATGGTCTACTATTTTTTCATATTTTTGCAAAAAAAAATACAGGATCAAGGAGAGTGAATTCATGCAGTTTGCAGATGTGGAGAATCATGACGACTTCTACTACCACAAGGACTGTCGAATTCATGTTCGTGATCAAGTTGGCTACTGGATCGTCTACGATTGTGCATTGGATGATTTTAAGTAGGTCACTGCCTCTCTCCTGTACAGTGCAAAAATGGCCTTCCCATCGTAGTATCATCTCCGATTCCTTAAAAATCCCCTTTTTCATCCTTCAGTGAACTAGAGAGAGATCTCATGTTACTGGCAACTCATTTTATCCAAAAGGACAAGGCCATGCGCTCCGCCTCCAATTTTAAGCGTAAACAGACCGCTAATGAGGTGAGTGGGGTGTAAATGGCAATAAGGTCATTACTTAGACCAACAAAAATGAGTTCAACATCGCTAATTACGCACATCGGGAGGTGGATCGATTTGGTGTGCTTTATGACCTCTGGACAAATGAATGTGCCTTTCAGGAGGCAAAGAAAGAGGTGAGGAGTCGCCCTTTTCGCTCCCTCTCACCCCCTCCTACACAAGTCATTGTTAAGATAATCCGGATAAAGCACGTTTTTGCCCTGCCGTCCCTCCTCCTTCCTTCTAGCTAATGGATGTCTACATGGAAGCCTATCAGCACGTCTGTTCACGAGAGAGTCGTAGGCGGTTGGCTCAAGTAATGGTGGATTTGATGTACCAACGACCCCGGATTGAGCTCAACTGCACGTACTTTGTACTGGCCTATCGCTATGAATGCGCCATTCTTCGACTTAAAACGGCCGTCATGAAGCATTGTCTCAATGCACAGGTGGGTCCACTTGAAGTTGACGGTTTTAGTGCACCTAAGGGAGCGATTTATTTGCTTAGACGTTACCAATGAAATACATTTTCCTTAACAGATTCAACAACAAAGGGAATACTTTATAAAATTGGGAACAACTGGTTCAGAGGATGGCTATCCAATTCCCCTCATCACTCATAACCCTATAAGTCCCAATTCGGATCAGTAGGTTTATGATAAGACTTGAATTAATCATGTTTAAAAAAATCCATTAATCAGATCCGTAGAAATCAACTGGCAAAACAATCAGAACTAACTTAATACAATTACTCAGTTGTGTTTGTTTAACTACTACCCCTTAGCCTTTCAGCCATGACAATAAGAAGTTAGACCAAAAAAATTTTGCTTGTCGTTCCCTCTTCTTTGGGCAAAAATGGGGGCCCTTTTAACGCACCTTTGCCTCTAATCAGACCAGCGCTGACGCCCTGTTACCTCCTGGAGTTGCAACCCTCCCTGGCAATGGCAGCCAACTTGGCTGAGGCAATGCAACAGGCAGTCAATGTGACCTTTGACATGCTAAATCCAACTCGTATGATCGATGAGTTGGTACTGGAGAAACGCTTCTATGAGGTTCTTCACTACGAGGTGTTAAATTTAGAACCTCCAGGACTCTCCTACACACAGGCTCTGCAAAGAGATGTAAGTTAGTGGATTCCTGCAGAAACGAGAACAGCGGATTATTTGTTGAATACCACCTGCCATTCTCAGCTCTTCGCCAGCTCCTACGTAGAGGACGCAAAACAGATGTCCAATCTGTTGCGCGAGCGGTACTTCAGCATCCAGGATACAAATACTCGTGGAGATAAGCAACAACGCAAGGCCTTCCTCCTTAACCACCTAGGTCAGATGCTTGATGTGGTGGTGTTGCGTCATCGTCTTATCACCTGTCTCTGGGAGACGGAAGTGCTGGCCAAGATCTACCTGCGCACTGCCATCGAAATGGGCTATGATGAATTCCACCTCTTCCTCCGGCCCCTCCAATTTGAGGCGGCTAAGTATAAGGAGGGTGTGGATGAGGCTAAATTGCCGCTCTACATCACTGCCATTCAGGATGATGACTCTGTTGTTGACAAGTGTGTCCGAGTGGGTAAAAATTCAAACGCACTTAGTGTTGATTGGACGATTCCTTAACCAATGAGCTTTTACGAGGAGAAGAAAATCGTCCGCCCGAGCGGAACTCTCCACTTGAACGCTAGCATCGAAATACCGGGCCTTAAGCACATCGAACACGTCCTCCAGCTTCAGTGATTGATGATGAAGAGGACTTCTTGTTAATCAGCCAATTCGGGAAATAAGACTACTGACATTAGTATTATCACTGATGGGTAAAATACGCTCCAAGTCACTTAGCTCCGGTTAACTCTCACATACATAACTACTCGTAAGGTGGGAATCCATGAGGCCTCAGAATCAACATTCCCATTATTAAGTGATGCTGTGATTGGTTATGCTCAGTTGTGCTTAACGTTGATTGGCCAACTTTAAGCCAATAAAATCTGCACATCTTTTCGTCAAATTGCCTTTCGATATGTTAATTGCCAAAAGTGTTTTATTGCAGCAGGAAGAGTGGAATGCCATATAAAATTTACAGAGACACAACAAAGTAAAAGAAGTGTCTCGAGACAATTTTTTACAGCTAGAGTTCTTCCCTCTGAAGTACTGTCATAAATTTCAGTTGCACTTATTAAAATAGCTAATTGAAGTGATTTTCCTTATTTCACATCAAGAAAGAAGCAGAGAATCAAAAAATGGTTTTGCTTTCATATAAGAATACAGATGGTTCCACTTTTCCTTCTTTTGAGAGTAGACATTCCTCATGTTGGTATTAAAACACTTAAGGTAAAAAAGCGACTGGAGATGTTTATCTGCAACTTTTTGGAGGTAATGTGTTAAGGCATATCATTGTCTTATCATAACATCTTTTTATTTGGCAATGTGATAGATTCATTCCTTCCGCATTGCCATTGGCTATTCACGAGTTGGATGAAACGCATGTGGGGAAGTTCTCCTTCCGTGGAAAAGTAACTGTCGCTGAGGTAACCTCTCTTGTTGTCGCTTCCATCTTGACATTTCTCAATTTTTCTCTGATTCACTATCAAGTCACGAGTCACACGTCCATTTTGCTACTTTATTAATTTAACCTATCCCCAGTTCTCCTGTCTTTTCTTGAGAACGAAAGAATGAGAAGGCAAACAAGAAAATCAAACAATTATTCGAGAACAAGTGTGGTCGCAGTACATGGCGAATATGGATTGAAATAGGGGGAATGAGTGAATCATTTGGGAAGAACTACCAATAAATAATTATTGTTTTAATAAATTGCCTTTTTGTTTTGTAGTTATGTGATGAACGAGGAGTAGAAAATTTGCTAGTAATTCTCAAGACCCAATTAACTCATAAAAATGCCCTGATTGCGGCATTAATGTTAGCCTTCAATGCAACGCCCTCCTTCTACAGTTCAAATCTCAGTAGTCGAGCTAAGTGAGTTTAAGCCTTTTGCTAACCCCGCAGGAATGTGGAGGGAATTTTTTCCCAAGTATGACTAACAAAGAGTAAGGAGGCGACAGATATAAATATTGTCTTTGTGAAGTACGCTAAAAGAGGATGATTCACTGACCTGTCAACTGCAGTCAAATAACTTTTTCAGGGTGACCCCGCTCTTCCTGCCTGTTTTTTCTTCTAACAAAAAAAACGGTTTTTTGGTTAACTTAAGGAAGGGGCGATCCACCGACCAGGAGGGCACTTCCCTAGCTGAATATACTGGCCTCTCGGGTGCTCAAATGGGCCCAACCCCACTAGCATTGGAAAGGGCCTTTCATATGCCCTTTATGGACTTTCATCCGGAAGCCTTCTTCTCTGTCCAATTGGAAAAGGTGAAAAGCTGACTGAAAAAATTAAAGTAGCATAAGAAATGTTTCTTAACTTTTTTTGATCTTCATTTATCTTTTACTTAAGACTGCCTGTAGAGATCGTGTTATGAATCTGTTTGCACGAAAGACCGAAGCTACAGCAAAGTCCAAAAATCGCGCCAAGAATTCATCAATGGAAAGTGAGAAATTAAAGAGGTGCGATAAATTGTTCTTCCAATTTTACCTTACACCTTACAATGAATGGTTCCTCATCTTAACCCCCATTTTTACCTTTTAAGGGATCTCATCTCCCAGTTTTGTGACGACTATAGTCGGCGGGCACAGCAGACAGCTCTGCGTGGACAAATTATTGCCCTCTATGCCTCGCTCATTACGGTGCTCAGAAAGGTACCAAATATTTGGTAAGTAATAACTTTAATGGACGGACCCATCATCTGCCCATTTATGGCCGACTTGAAGTACTACTGATAAGTAGTGATCAGAAGAATGAGTTGTTTAGATGAGCGGGTATCTGATAAATATCCTAAAGTTGAGGAATTGAAAAGCTTGTCTTCTTTTCAAAAAGATGGACCACTTCTCGCCCACCCACAGCATTTGAATGACCTTGATTTTATTGCGGTATGGGTCAATCAGAGCACGAGTTTAGAGACGTTCCAAGAAATGGTGATTAAAGGTGAAAACAAAATCATTTGTAGAGAATATTTTTCTCAATAGCATTTCTTAAAAGATCTCCTCTGACTTATTGATTTACGTTCTGCCATACCAGCGAGGAATTCTTTACCATTGGCACTATGTACGAGAAGAAAGGTCTCGACGATGACGCTGAGATGGCTAAGACGGATCCTCGAAAACTGCGTAAACGTGTACGCCGGGTGCTCTCGCTGGATGGAACACGATTCTACAACCTGTGGTTCATCCCTCACTTCCTTGAGGTGCTTTTTGTCTTTCGCCAACTTGACGATGAGGCCGCCACTCGGGCACTACGTTCCATGTGTCGGGTGGCCAGTGCACTGCACGATATTGTCCACTACCTTGTGGCATTTGCTAGACTCGGCATCAACGGCTCGAAGCTTTCGGCTGAACAGAGGGATCAAATTTATGCTATGGCTAGTGAGGTAGTTGATAGCTCCTTTCTAAATTGTGTTCTGGCTGATGTCTCTATTGGTCAACAAGCTTTCCCCACCCCTACCTCGGTTAGACTGTGAAGACCATGGTGCATGAGTTGCATCCCACCTCCTCAATGGAATATGCCAATCGTTTAGCGGCTAACGCTGCTGCAAATAGTTCAACAGCTAAATTGGTAGTTGCGGGTACAACAGAATATCTGGCCGAGATTAACGAACAGCCTGCAGCCATGGTCACTCCGGAGGGACTCACTTTGCCCAATGGACAGAGCCTCCTTATTGATCAGGCTGTCGGTGGGTTTGCCTCACTTAGAAATAGTCTTTACCTTTTTTTTTTAAACTGCAAATAACATTGTGAAATAAGTTACCATCAATAAGTACCATTCCCTACACTTATTCATTTTCTAACTTAAATGCTTTCAATTCAGTAATATGTTCACTATCTACAGTTTTTACCTTACTTTCTCCCCTTGCAGAATTCAGCTTTTTGCCCAATACTGCCATTGACATTCCATTTTTTATTTGATTAACTGCTCATTTATTTTAGAGGAAATCAGTTCGTTTGATGGGGGTCCCATGTCAAATTTAGGTAAGGCTTGACAGCCATTTTTTACGTGCGTGTACAAGAATCAAGTCTGTCTGCCATTTTAATCACCTTTTAGCTCAAGAATTACGTGAAATTCAGACTCAAATTAATATGTTGCCTGATCCACAAGATCCGGATCAAGTAGTGAATCTGTTGAACGCTCGTCGGGAATATATGTTCCTCCTTCTGGATGTATGTCTATCTAGTGTACTCAGTGAGACCTTCCTAGCTACTGGCAATGAGGAGGCTTACCGAGTAGGTGACTTCATGCCTGAGGGCAATCTTCTCTGACATTTTTACCTGATTAGGAAGCCTCTGTCCATTGCCTCACCCGTTTGTCCCCTGTCTAGGAATTGGTAGATGGGAGCCGATTCCCTCTGGGTGAGATGAGCAATCGGTGTCAGCCAAGTCTGGAGGCCTTAGAGATGCCCATACCCGAGCCGCTAGAGCCTCAAGATGAACGGGCTTGCAAACTCTATCCTTGGTTGTCTTTCCTCAACTCCGCTGGTCCCTTCACCATTCAGTATCCTCGGTGGACACGGATTGAGTATAATATTCGTCTCTGTATGGCGGGTCTGAGGCATGTGGACAAGTGAGTTCCGAAGGTATTGGCATGACTTGCCGCGTATCCTTTTCTTGTGGGTAAAAGAACATTATCAATGGTTGGACGCGAGTGATAGATGTCCAAAGACCTTCAGTCAATTCATCGCCTTCTGTCGCCATTGCACCAGACAATCACTTGTTAAATGGGGCATCATCTAAGAACAAGATAATTGGGAAGTAAAAGTGAGAAATACCAAGGAAGAAAAGCATGTTGTGATGAGACTACTTATCTATACCAATTCAGTAGTATGTTCCTACTTTAATTTAATAAACCAATCTAACTACCAATCCACCTGGAATCTCACCAGTTGAGTTCTTATTTCTTGCCCCATCTTCACAGACCAACAGTTCACGGTGAGCTACTATCATTGATGTTGGCTCTGGAAGATGTCCTCGAGACCGGCGACGTGTTAGAGGCTTCAGCAGGTCAGCCACTGCCCGTCGAGGAGTACGAGAATTTGCACTACCTCCTCGGTCGTCGTTTTCGCAATAAGCGAAAGGAGGTCGCACAGTCGGCTCCCGTCGCGAATGCGGCTACTCCAAGTGGAGGTGGTGGTGGTGCTAGCAGAGGTGGTGCAGGAGCTGGTGGAGGTGCCGATGAGCCCGAGGCCAAGGATGATGAACCAGGGCAATCTATTGCAGCCGTCTCGCACCCTGCACGCACCGAGACTGCGAGTAAGCAACTGATTGGCTAGCAACTTTATGATAATTTCTCTGCAGCCTTCAGCACACATTCTACTCTTAAAGCATTCCATCAGCTGGTGAAAGCGGCCAATTGAATAGGTCAATTCTTTTCACCGCTTTCTCTTCCTCTTTTTCGACAGCTAATGTAGAGGTCAAGTTAAGCATTGTGGAGACACCGATAGCAGCCTATGCCCTCATCAAGAAGTACCTCATCCTTCGAAAACGTGTTGAGCTGATGAAACGAGAGTGGGGAAAACGTCGTTTGGGTCTCGAAAGCATTGACACTGCTGCCGCCTTTAAACAGTTTACGTGAGCTGGTGGATTTTAATCCACCACCAACTTTTTGACTTTATTCAAGTAGTTTGACACTTGATTGGTAGCTTGACTGATTTGTAGACAAGTCTACCGTCGTGAACATCTCTTTCCTCTCTTACGAAGTCTATCTATCCAATACAAACAGCCGGAGATTTTTGCACTTGGACCGTTCCAAGAGACTGATGTGCAAATTTCCCCTAAAGGCATTCCAGAGATGGTGCTTCTACAACGACAGGTGAGGTCCACTGAGAGGGCTAATTTAATCACTTTTCCATCCCCTTCTTTAGCTGGTCAAGCTGATTGAAGCCTTTGAAAACTATATGATTGGAGACGTTCGAAAGATGTTGGTGAGGCAAATTGACCTTGTAATAAAGGAGAGAAATCGGGAAGAGGGCAACCTTCCTCTAGAGTTGTGGAAAAAGCCAGTAGGTCATTTTTCATCCTTTTTTTCTTAAATTGTCATCTGTTCTACCCAATTTGTCAATTAACTAAAAATGAAACTTTGAAATCAAGTGTCAACATATCACCTCTTAATCAATCTGTTGTCTACTTAAAAGCTGACATTTCATACCATAAAATTATTTGCAATTTCACTTCTTTGGCGTGTAACTGGTAGGTAAATGGCCCCATAAACATTTCTGAACCTGACACTGACTTGTCAAAAGTAAACTACTCAAATAATTATTTGAAGTCGAGTAGCCAATCAGAATCCTAGATGGCTCCATGGATTCGGGATATCTCAACTAATCACTTTGTTGATTTATTTTTCCAAGGCAATGAAAGAATCCCTAACCGTACAACGACCCGCATTAGTGGATGAAGTTCTTGAGAACCTACTGGATGGAGCGCGTGAGGATACGGTGAAAAAAACCATAACGTTCGACACGGAGCATCTCAACAAATTTATCCAGAATGTCACCATCGGTGTAATGCGAATGCAACGAGAGGCTTATGAGAAGTAGGTGATGTGACCTCGAGTTCACTCATTGGGTAGAAAGTAGAGCTTGATACAGTAGACCCTTTTTGCCAGGAGGTGGTGGGGAGGGGGAAGGGGCACTGGTCGTGTGTATACGTTTCCCTGTTGACTCCCAAAGTCAGCTGGAGTTCCTAGAAATAGAGCTGGGGACTGGACGAAGAGGTGTCATTTTCATACCCTAACGAGTACCTTTGAGTATCAAAATGGCCTAGAATGTTCGGGGAGAGGAAATAAAAACTTTTGGAACCGTTCCTGAGCCTATTTACGCCTTTTCCCCTTCAATGCTTTACTTTGGAATTTAATCAAGCCTACTCTCCTCATTCGTTGTTAGCTACGCCATGTACTACGAGAACCTGCTTAAAAATCAGCACATGCTACTCTATGCCAGGGAGCGTGAGGTAGCCAGCTTGCGCGAACAGTTGAAGCAGAAGGAGTTGGAGACTGAGGTCAATGTCCAATTTCAAATGTCTGAACAAGCACACAACCTCCTTCTAGGTGAGATGGACCAGACGCGCCATATGTCTGCCTCCTTTTAAAACATCTCGTCTGACTGGTCTGTCTTGCAGAGGTGACAGCCCTGCGTGCCAAGTTGGCCGAGAACGCTGACCAGACGGTACACTCGGAGGCGAAGGTGCGCGATCAGGTGCGGCGGGAGTTCAGTGCCGCGATGCGCAAACTCTTTGCTCTCAGCTTCGAGCAGAAGGCGCGTATCGACGAATACCGCAACCATCTGCACGCGGTCACACTAAAACGCATCTCGGAGGTGCGTGATGAAGCTGCTCTGGAGATGGAGCGTATCAAGGAGAAGAGCGGCGCTAAGAGTTCTGCTGGTATGCCAATAGAGTCTTTCTACAACTTTTTCGGCGTTCACGGAACTGGAAAATTATATTCCTATATATATATCTCTCCTTGGACGATATCTCCCATCCTATCAGGCCCCATCCTTTGACGGTATCTAAAATGTCTTACTTTTTCTCTCTTCACCTTGGAAAAGAGGATGAATTAGCAGAGAGGAATCTTCGATTGTCTCGAGAGATCAACAATATTCACCAAAAGAATATTCACCTTCAACAGATGGTCTCCAGATTGAAGTCCATGAGCACCTGGAAGGAGAACACACTTCATTGCGTCTTTGAAAAGCAGGTACTGTCCAATAGATCTTGCTGTCCTCCTTCCATAGTTGGTAGGTAAAAGTGAATGAGAGCACTGGCGCCTCATCCTCCTCACTCATCTTCCACACTACCTTCTAAGTTCGCCTTGCTAAAAGTGAATTAGTAGGTGCACAGGAATGGAAGAAGCAAGACGCCAGTGTTTTTTTTTCTTGTCCATCTGTCCATCCCAGATGAAAGCAGTTGAAGATCAGCGGAATAAGAGCAAGACCCAGGTGAACCGTTTGGGTATGCTCTCAGAGCAGCGTGTGCGAAACCTCTCCGAGGAGATGACCAAACTACGTGAGAATTTGAGCTCTACCCATAAGGAGCTGGATGATCTTCGACGTCAGCTGGACAAGGAGGTTTCTACACCTTGAATTTATCTAATATTTCTTTGCTTTTTTTCTTCCCGTGTTAATATTTTCCTTCCTTCCAGCTGAAGGACAAAGTGGAGAAGCGGAATATTGCAGAACGCAAAGCAGCAACCGAGAAACAGATTGCCAACATCAAACAAATGCATATCGAAAAATTGGTGAGTCAAAACATTCCACGCAAAAACCTTATCAGAGGTTGTGCAGGCCATGGTGTTGACGGTAAATTTGACAGCTTTGACATTTTGAGATGCCCCCATATTTAAGCAGCAGGTTAATATGCCTTTAGCGGGTCTTCTTTTTTTCTTTGAAGAAAAAAGTGCCCTCGAGTTGTTCATACTTTCAGATGTCAGTTACTCATCCCATTTACTGGTAATGCCAGCCTAATCCTTCTTTTCCTACGCCTCAGCTGGGTGACATCGCAGGAAAGAATGAACACATAGCCGAGTTGAATGAGCAGTTGGCGGTACACGAGAAGACAAAACGTCAGGTCATAGAAAAGGCCATGCGTGACATTGACAACCTGAAGAAGCGTTTGGCTGATGAACGCAAGCTCAAAAAGATTGCCATACACAAAGTTGACGATCTGCTCTCTCAGGTACGCTGATTAGATTGTGTTATTTGATCTGTCTTCTTGAACAAGATGGCAGTAAGTAGACTTCTACATTGGGGCAACTGTTTCGGGCAGAGCTGTGCAGTCCACTTCTGTGGCTCACTTACAGCCCTCGCTTTTCCAACCGAGTGGGTGATAGGATCTGCCTTTACTCCCTACACTTAATTTACCAAATCTCGTTGTGAATAGCAGAAAATGTCAAGGATGACACATCTAACAGACACGACTAGTGCTATTATCTGAGGAGATGAGATATAAGCTAAAGCGCATTTATTTCTACTTGCCCGCAGGTCTACGAATACGAGACAGCTTTTGCAATCAATCAGAGTAGGTTCTGCTCCATCTTTATAAAACCACTTTAATTGGGAAGCACACGTAATACTACTTAGCGATGCTATTTCAGCACCCGCACAAACAGGGAATACTGCAATTGTCGCCACACACCTCGGTGGCACCGATCAGAAAGGCATTGGTAGTGCCAAGTTCGGCGGCATCAAATCAGCTTGCAGGAAGTACAATTCCTCCATCACTGCGGTAAGGTTGATTGGCTGTTGTTTTGTAAAAGTAGTAGACGATTATTACCGAGAAGTTGGTATTAACATCTGTATAATGCTTGAAATTCATAAGTTCCCGTCCTTCTTTTGCTTAGTATGATGACCTGCTGAAACGATTCAAAGTTCCTTATACACCTCAACATTACTTGGATCACAGAAGGAAGATGGTAAGCTGTTTGGGAAGCTCGGCATTTTGTTCCAATGCCTCCTAATTCTATTCATCATGATATCTATACTTCACAGTTAGAGTTAAAAGGCTACAAAGGAGGCACCTTGACTCGGTTTTCAGTCATTAGTGTCAAATTAATCACATTTAAAAACCGTAACCCACAAAAGTGGGTGCGTCTACTTAAATATATAAGTAGCAGCTATTTGTGCTGCACTTCTAGGTGATGGTTCCACGACTTCAGCAACACATGGCACACGAGATTCTCAATGAACAACCACCAGCGACACACGAGGAGGTTGTGGAGGCACAAAATCTAGAGGAGAAGCGGAAGTTCAACATCTAGACCCGTTGACCTTTGGAGATGGGCATCAGTCCTCGGTTAGGTGGTCCAGTGGCACATGCCAACTCTCACAAATACATTCAACATGCAAATGGAGATCCGACCATTGCAAATTCTCTCTTAAAGTAGCCGACAGGAGGTCGTATGTTAGAGAAGCCAATTTTGAGGGTAGGAGTGAATGCTGACCAATTGACCTGACTTGGATGGGTCACGAAGAGAGCCAGAACACGCTTTCGCGTTTAAATTATCAACTAATCCAGTCGTAAAAAGGCGCCTTAAATGATGCAGAGATTGACCTTAAAAAGTCCAGAAGAAAGTGGGGAGGGTGGAAGAACCATCGATTAGTTAGAATCTATTACTGTGATTTCAGTAGGACGTGATGGGCTTTTCTTCGGCGGTCTTACTAACCAACGTATGAAAACTGTGATGCATCGATTTCAGCTTAAAAATCCTTGGAAAGAGAAAATTTTAGATGAGGAACTTTAGTAAGAGAATCAGCCCTCTCATGGTGTAGAACTTTGACGAGCGATCCAAAATGAGTCCCGCCTGCGCGTAAACCAGATTCCTAAGTGCTTTGTGTGAGTGACTGAGTGAGCCTGTTAGCAGCAGCATCGTCTCGCACCTTTCATTCATGGAGAAGGTGTATTGGGAGCAAAATATCGGAGCATTGTACTCCATGTTATTAGCGGAAGGGCGACTGATGCACTGAAATAAGACAGGGAGGGGGAAGAGGGTCGAATCATCAGAAGTAGGTGGGGAGTATTAGAGTAATGAGAAGTTGGAATATACATACAAAGATACGCGGAGAGGGATAGAGGACACGAGAAGCAGCATCCGGCTCGTATATTCAACACTCGGGTGATTATGCTCACAGCCTTCGGGCAAGGATTGAGAAGACACCTTTTGATCAGGACTGCCGATTCAAGGTATCGGCCAACCTACAATTAAAGCCACAAAGTGCGCAGTGAGTGCTAGTTGTCATGGGATATTCAAATTCGAATCATTTTAAAAGATAGAAGTTGGAAAACGCACCAGTCCATGGCTTCGGTAAGTCCATCACCGCGAACAGCCGAAGTTTTGAAGATCTGATACGTCCGATTCTTGATGGAGGTTAGACCGAGTGAAGAGGCCACTTGAGTGACGGACATACAGCCATCAATGTCCTGTTTGTTGGCAAAAACGGCCAAGACAGCGGTCTTTAGCTCCTCCTCCTAAAGGTGAAAACGATATTCGTGTGTAGGATTGGTAATAAGACAAAGCCAGGTGGGGAAGTGTATACGCACAACGCACCTCAAGCATTGAAATTAGCTCCTGCCTAGAGATGCCGATCCTGTCACGATCCATACTGTCCACAACGTAGATTATAGCGTCAGTATTAGCATAGTAACAGCGCCAGTATGGACGAATACTTGTCTGTCCACCCAGATCCCATACTTGGAATTTCAAGTTCTTGTAATGCACGGTTTCAACATTGAAACCGATAGCTTAATGTGGAGTGCATAGGTAAAGTAAACAAAAGAAAATTCGAGAACTTCAAAGCAAAAAATGCCAGTGTGAGAATAAAACTGTATCTATAAAGGACAAAATATGCACAACTCTGAGGAAAAAAACTTAGGTGAAGAGAGCCTCAAGGATAAGGTATTTTATTGTACACTTGAGTCAAGACTACGTGAAAGGTACTTTCTGAGTTGGGATGATTAACCACTCAACAAACTTACTCGGTATAGTCGTCACAACCTCGCCAACTTGTAACTTGTACAAAATCGTCGTTTTCCCTGCACCATCCAGTCCCAGAATGAGTATTCGTCTTTCACGAGAACCAAAAAGCCTGTAAAATGCGGACCAAATCCCACCTAGGCAAAAAAGTTAGGCGAATATACACAAACCCATTGTGGATGACGGCAGCAGGCAAAAAGTGCCTGCCGTTCAGCTATTCAACCAATCAAATTTGGCACCTTGGAAGGACACAATGATCCCGATGTTCTATCAGCCTGGTTAACATAAAGTCAGAAGCCCGAATTTTATGGAACGAAACAAATAATCTTATCCGTAGAACTCAAAATCCTCTGACTGCATTTTACCGTGGGAAGGCTCCAAAGATGATTATTATAGATGGCACAATCAAAGAATGACTCCTGATTTGAAAATTAGAATAACATATGTGTTAATTTCCTCATAAATGTTCCTGCAAATGTTCAGAACTGTAGTGTTTATGAACCATTAGGTGGGTTGCCTTAAATTTTTTTAAAACAATACCCTGTAATTTTAATTATAAACCCTCCAGTTTACGACAATATTAGCAGTCTGTTGACTTAGTTATCACTAAACAAATGACAGATATCTATTTTTAAACAGACTTAACTAGCCACAGGAATAAATTTAGCATAAATAAGATAATACCAAATATGGCGATGACAGCCAACACGCTTGCAATGATGTGTACATGATGAGTACATCCGTCCTCAGTTGGAGCATTGGGTCATTTGTAAATTCATTGATCGTAAAATTTACACCCACACACAACTACATTTCCAGCAGTCTAATCTAGTTTTGTGTAATTTAGCATTCACATAGAGAATGTAACACGTCACAAGACCAGAAAATGTACTGTTCATGTAGTCTCCTCCTCATGGACTCGTAGCACTTGTTCGAAGATCTTCCCATGAGCGTATTTTATCGGCATTGAAAATGCCTTGTCAGTAAACTCACACACAGCTCTTCCGCTTTTTCCACAGGTGATCCATACGAACACGTCATCATGAGTTTTCCCGAGTATTCCTTCGGACGGTAACCTAGTTGTTGATATCGAAGAAGCTTTGGGTACCATCGCATCTCTGGCGTGGGACCTTGTGAGCCCAGATTGCCTCACTCCCAAAGCTGCGAAAACCCCTCAGCAAATGTGCTCCACATAATGTGAAGATATGCCAAGGATCACCAGAAGGTACAGCCCTGCCTTGACAGTGCGTCGACACCTGTTCCAACCGACATGGACCACACACCTCATGTACGGCCTCAAGCCTTACTTTCCGCCTCTCACATGCAGCACGAATCTACACCCTCGGAAAAAGACAGCTCGCTAGCCGACTTGTGGAGGGAAAAGGCATGTGTGAAACCATCGTTTTAACACCCCACGACATAACGCAGGCACAGACACGACTAAGGCTGCCTCATCCACCGAATACTTCACCCGCTTAGGGTCCAACAACTCTGGCTAGGATCTCAGCACCACCCAAAAGTGGGTAAGGCAACACCTATCCAGGAGGGGAGGGTAGTGTTTCCCCTGCCTGTTTCCGGGCAGATAGGACCCCGAACTTCATGGGAAGGTCTACAAATTAGAGAGATGTGGAATGGGAAACAATGCCTCACCTCAGCCCCCATAAAGGCGATATAACCCCTTCATGGGATGAGATGGGTGACCGTAGCGAAGAATACCTCAATATGCAATTCACCTAACCTAACCTCGTCGTTTCCCAATCAAGTCTGCCACTGATTAGCCAACCAGACCATTACACATCGTTCAAAGACCCCATCATAACTAAATATTTGGAATTCAAGACGGCTAACCGTGAAGGCCTAGCGCAAGGAGCAAGCACTCGCCTCTAAAGCATATTCCGAATTTATAACCGAAAAAAGTAAAAAGCGAAGTCAATCCACCGGTGCTATCCATCTATTACATCTTTCCTGGTGGTCCAAAAAAACCAGATCAACTGTCACTCTTTCACTGGTTCGCAACACTTCAACCTCACAATAGTGAAAAAAGCATAGAGGGACAGCTGTTCACAGATCCAGAGGTCGAGGTGTCATGAACTCGTCCAATACCGCCTCTGTGATCTGCGCTCTTCGTCGTTGGTGCTGTGTCACGAGGTCGGTCAGAATGGCAATGAGCTCTTTCTTCAGGTTACCCGTCAAGAGCTCACCCGAAGTGTAGTCCTGAAGGCAAACAAATAGTAACAAATTATCCTTTATCAGTGAATTTCTATGCAGAGATGACAAGGTGATTAGGAGGAATCAGGAATCGCCTGAACAAGACTCTTTCCACTTCTCAGGGTAAAACAAATACCCAAAAGTGGTTTATCCGCGCTGACTGATCTCTCATAAAAGAGCAAGATTCATCACCTCTATGGGAAAGGGTGAAATGAGGCACTGTCGCCCCAGTTTGCAAATCTTTCCATGTAGTTCAAGGTCCTGTTGGTCGGAGATCAGCACTTTCCTCCCATTCATCACTCACTACTTCTGTCCCTTGCTGGATAGGTGTTTCCTTACCCACCTTTGAATTGCGCTGAGGTCTCGACCAGAGTTATTGAATCATAAGCAAGTGAAGCATTCAGCGAGCGAGGAAGGCGCAGTCGTTTCTGTGGCTACAGAGCGAAGCGCCCGTTTGGCAAAAAATGCAAACTTCGAGGCGCAAATGTCAGCTAATAATCAGTCCTTTCTCCGACGGCACACTTTCATGTCGCTCTTGAAAGAGGTAGGGAACAATGTCCGGGGTCGTGCATAGGGTGCATCATCCATATTGCTGAGTCTCCACCACGATTCTTCCAGTTGGTAGAGCAATTGCTGAACTGTCACGTAGCATATCTTCAGATTCTGCACAACACATTTGGCAAGCAGACTCTGCAGCTTTGCGACTAGGGGAAACTTGGTTTGCGAAACTGACACTGTCAATTTACATCTATCAGATACAATCAACATTCGCGAACAACACGTTAGCTGCACTTTGAGTGAGTCAACGATAACCACCACGAACAAGACCAAGCATTGGTGACTATAACCGCGTGCAACTAAGCCAAGTCTCCAGCACTGTCCACTAGCCAGGCGCCGGGCTCCCTCACACACCTCAGTCGATAAAGACATTTGTTTTGAAGACCTTGTCTTTGTCCACTAGACAGCTCAATAAGATCTGGGCGGCTGGCATGAATGCAGAAGCCCCAGCCTATGAATGGTTACCTTGGCATCCTAGTGCCTTATTGACATGTCTCAAGGCTAGAAAAGAGTCCTGCTTGGGTGATGCATCAGCTGAGTCAGACACCCTCCCCCAATCCCCCAATTTGGGGTAGTACATTTTGGCACCGAATTTTGTGTCATCTCTAAATGTTATACAAGTTATTAGGCAAGGAGGCTCTGTAGCATTAGGGCTGTAGGATACTAACGATGTACCCAGCCAAGATTTGGCAATGTGAGAGCGAATTTCAAAAAAAGTGGCAGAGCACAAAAGACGACACTCACTGAGGTAGAATGAGTACATAGCAGAAATGGCAGAGGTACTTTAGCGGTGTGCCCAAATCACGAGGCAGTGAAGGGAGTCACACCGAAAACAGCACAAAATTTTGTACTCACTTGGTAGCACGTTTGCCAGTACTGCAAAGTGGGCGGAAACGGAGAGGATTTGAAGTGCACCTTTACCGCCCTTATGTTTTTTTCGCACATCTACCAGCACTCAAACTCAAGCAAAAAAAGTTTTTCCAACTCCAATAATATAAACACTATAAGACCACAAGTTGTTTCGCCTCTTTTCCCCTCAAGCAGCAAAGCTGACTCCAGTAGTACTACTACCTCCTAAACATCTGCCATGCAAGCCTTAAAACGACTACTAGCAAAGTGAGTTGACCCATAAAAAGAATGCGAATGAATGGTAGGTGGATGTGAAAGCGAGGTATTGCTGCATTACCGAAGGTTACTCGGTCTTTAAAGGCACTTATCGTAAAACAGCACCACAAACAACTTCATTCTCAGACGCGATTCGTCCAGCGGCTTAAGAGACCACCCCAGTATCGCAATAGGAGACAGGGAGAAGAAACGACGCGATGCAATTTCCCCAGGCGTAACTCAGGAGTGACAAATTTAAGGAGATAAAGCAAGACTGACCTTGCGAATTCGTTCCAACTTCTCGTCATCATCGAGGAAGAACCGAAGGTACTGGAAGGAGACATCCACGTCACAGTTACCACCCTTGGCCCTATGCTCCTCGATTGTCGCACCGCCACCCGAAAAGGCGTACTTGTTGATCTGAAATAAAGAATGAGAAAAAGATAATTGCATGCTCAAAAAGACCACTTTTTTGGTCCTATTGAACTCCTATCGCAGGGCTCTAAGATCGATGACCTAACAAATAGGTTCGGTGTGTGGCTATAAATGCAGGTCGAATCGGTCGTAATTGTGTGACCTACGCAAATAAGCGCCATTGGTAAGGTTTTGACTACAAAGTATCAGATTTATAGTCCGATGGATGGATAAATAAAAAGGTAATGGGTGGGCAGGTAGAACGATGGATCTGGGATGAAGAATCGGGGCTTGGTGGATAACTACCTAAGGAAGCGGGTGGGGGAGAGATAAATGGCGGGTCAATTAAATTAACAAATAGCAAGATAGGTGAGTATTCAAACGAATGCATGAAAAGATGGATGAATTGACTGTTAATCGACAACGTATGGATTAAATGTATGCATAGTAGTAAGAAGTTAAAAGTGGGGGACAGGATGGGTAATTCAGATGGAAATGAATGGATGAATCGGAGGTAGACAGATAACTAGCTAGGGGTGCATGGAGAGATGATTAGCTAAGTGAATTAGTAGATGGAAAATTTGGCACAGAGGAATGGATGTAATTTTGATGTACCCAACCTAAGAGACGACATATACCGGATGAATGAATAGATCTGGGATATGTCCAGGTAGATGGAAGAGTGGAAGGAAGTAAAACTCACCTTTGCCCTAATCTGTTTCGGTGTATCCGTAAGAAATATCGCCGAGTTGGGGTCTGAGGCGCTCATCTTCGTGACACTGCCCTGCAGCGCAGGGAAGAACGTAGATAGCAGTAGAGCTGGCTTTGGCATACCCAGACGTGGAGCGACATCTCGTGTCATGCGGAAGTAGGGATCCTGATCGATGGCACAAGGGATTAGACATCCCACCGACGTCTGCGCCACCGTTGCCTTCTCCGTCCTGTCACACTCGCAGCCATTAATCTCGCCAACACTGTCTCGGCCGAAAATTTGCGGAAATGAAGAGGAGAAACAAGGTGCCGCCTGGACCGCAGGAAAAGCGATTTTACCAATGCAGTCGTTGTCGGTGAAACCGAATATCCCCCGCGCTTGGTTGAACGTAACCATGCGCTGAATGCTCACTATGGTGCGGTAGAACTCCGGGCACTGCCTATACGGGTAAGGGAAGCAACCACAACCGTAGGTGTAAATCAGCCAGTCGATGAAAAATATGCCGTTAGACAAGATGGGAACTGTGGGTGCAGAGTTGGATACGACTCTCAGAGCACAAGTGGTGGTAGTGGAATTAACTACTACA